GTCTCGCTTATGTTGTTGTTGTCGGCATCACACACACACATGACCCTCACCACGTCTAAGTGTCGCTCCTCAACTCAGAATTATATAAAGATTAGCCCTAACCTAACCTAAGCTAACCTAACCCCCAAGGTAACGTAGGGGGCTAATCTTCAGGTGATCCTACTATAGTTGATAGTTATGTATAAGATTGAGTATAGAAATGACCATGTTCTGAGTCTGACATTTGAGAGTATAAGATCAGAGGACGAGCGTGGTGAAACAAAGGACTCGCCTCTGTAGGATTTGTCTCAACACTCCAGCCATTATCCTCGACTCCTGGACGAGAACTGGCCACACCTGAGCGAGGGACAGTACCCACCGCCGTCCTGGAGACACTACCTGAGCATCCTTAACATACCTCACATTATCTTTTGAATATATTATCGCGCTGGTCGGTCCACACCACCAGTCCTGTCGCACACGTCATGACGGAAATGAAAAAAAAAGTTAACCGGAATACTTGGTGCGGGTAATGATGGGAATGGTCGTTACCTGAGTTCCGGTCGACGGCAGGTGCAAGTGCCACCACTAATTGTCATTCAGAAGGAGACTCACCTGTCGGGACTCTCGCCTACACCTGAGTTGATTTGGTAAACAACACAACAGCAAAGATGCTCTGACGAAGGCAGTGGACTGTCCTTGGTAGAGGCACGACTATTGGGCATATAGGGAATGACGTCACTTGGTAGTAATCTCCCTAACGACATTGTGGACTTTTTATGCATCACCATCACCCTCATCATCACCATCATCATCACCGCAGTAAAGAGTAGTGAGGGGTGAGGGAGGGTGGATGTGGGTGGGAGAATTAACCTTGTGTGGGCGGTGAAACAATGGGCGGTAGGCAAGACGGAAGTGACCAACAACATTTTGATGGGAAGGCAGATACAAGCAGACAGGCAGCTAGGAAGGCAGACAGACAGCTAGGAAGGCAGACAGGCAGCTAGGAAGGCAGACAGGCAGCTAGGAAGGCAGACAGGCAGCTAGGAAGGCAGACAGACAAACATAAAAGAAGAGAAACAAGCAAACAGATAGACAGGAAGCTTGGTAGACAGACAGTCAGATAGAGAGGTAGGTATGTGGACAAAGACAAAGACAGACATACAGGCAGGAAGAACATCCACTGAGAGAGAGAGAGAGAGAGAGAGAGAGAGAGAGAGAGAGAGAGAGAGAGAGAGAGAGAGAGGCACCAGCTGTGGGATCGACATTTACTCAACTTACTGCTCTTTGGGGGGGGACTCTATGACGTCTCACTCACTATAACACAAGTGCTTATCTTATTTCATCTGGTCTCAACATCCACATGACTATATACCAAAGTCATATTGTATTTTTTTTTTGTATGACTTTCCCCTTATCTAGGACTCGTGCTTACGTATATACTTGATTAAGTAACATACGTGGAGTTAGATTTTGTAAATGTAGCGTAATTGACTGATGTAGCGCAATGTACTAAATTTAGCATATGTAGTTGTAAACATTAATATGAAGGGATACTCGATTGGAATTACATATTGTGTGCGTAACCTAACACTGAAGAATGTAGCCAAGTAAACTGTCAACATTAGTACAAGGTATACACAGCCCAAGAGACAATTTAGGTAAGTATGAATCACCAGCGTCTGGCGGAACTCGGAAGAGGAAAAAATTTTAATGTCACTTGCAGCAAAACTTGGTTCACGTCACTCGTAGCCAGGCATAGTCGCTCCAGTTTCTGGCACCTGGTGGTCCCTCCCATGGCCAGGGGTACTCAAGAAGTGGACAGGGGTACACAAAAAGTGGCCAGGGGTACACTAGAATGGCCAGGGGTACACCAGAGTGTCCAGTGGAACACCATTGTGGTAAGAATGCTTTAGTGGTGTGGCCAAAGATACAAGGGTAATGTTCTGCGTGGCCACCTGTTGCATTCCCAACAGTACAGTCAAAGTCTTACTGGCACATATAAAGTGTGTGTGTGTGTGTGTCGACAGAGAGAGGTAAAAGGTTACTGTTGGGGTGGGGCCAGTTAACTGAGGAACATGCCCCGTGGTTGCCGTAGAGTGGCTTACAAGAGGTGGTGGTGCTGCCGCTTTCAGACACACACTGACTGTTATTTATTTATTTATTTATTTATTTATTTAGAGAGAGAGAGAGAGAGAGAGAGAGAGAGAGAGAGAGAGAGAGACCCTACAACTGGGACGCATTATGTTGGTGTTTTGTTACGTGAAAGTGTTCCAGACCATTTACTCTACCGTCTTAAAAAAAAACAATAGTTCGTACTTTTGGTTAAATAATTCACTTGTCACTCATTTATCTTATCTCTCTCTCTCTTTTTAGCGCATATTATTTTTCGTGGTGATGCTAATGTTCAAATAATCGCCGTTTTCTCTTACGAATTATTCGCCGTTTTCTCTTACGAAATATTCGCCGTTTTCTTTTATAAAATATTCTCTGTTTACGTTATTTTTCATTACGTTATTCCCCCACTTCTCTCTTCCTCCTTCTGTACCCCCGCCCGCGCCTACACCAGTAACTCGTAAAATCATCTCCTACAACCTGTCAACCTCAGCAAAAACCAGGTCCTGCTACGTCAATTACTCAATCCCACAACATCAATCTTTGGCCTAACAACAACTCCCTCCACCTCTGGTTCTACGGTGTCCACTCTCCCCTATCATTTCGTCAGAGGTGGCGCCCTTCTCCCTGACCACTGCAACACACACCACGCCCTACTCACATATCACCTAGTACTGTCACCTGCCTACCTCCTCCTCCCCTTCCTCACACCTGTTCGTCGCTCACCTTACAACACTGACATGATTTTGTTTAGAATTTTATATTTAATATTTTTGCGTTTGGGTGCAAGTGTGTGTGTGTGTGTGTTACACAAGACGAAGTAAAAACTAGTGTTGCTTACTGAAGTGGCAAGAAGTAAACAAAACAAACCATTTATAACTCGTCAGCCAGTGTGTGTGTGTGTGTGTAAACCTCACAACATGTGAACAACTTTTTGGGTTGTTTCACAAGAAATTGAAGACGTGTACATCATCATTATCATTTAGGGGGGATGTGTTTGTGTGTTGTCGAGGAGGTCACAGGGTCAGGTCAGCTACACTTACACTTAATATTCATTACAACATTGTCGACCCAACTCACGCCGCGTCAGGGTACAGTTGATCTTGAGAGTCGATGTTGATATTACTGATGTTGAAGCTGGTGATTTAATCGATGTTCATGTTAACATTGTTTATCTTTTTTTGTTTTTTCACTGTTTTTATTGTTGCTTTTGTTGCCTTCCTGTTTGTGTGTTGCAGGTGTGGGGGTGTGATAAGTGTTGCAGGTGTGGGGATGTGACCAGTGTTGCAGGTGTTGGGGGAGTGACCAGTGTTGCAGGGGTTGGGGGAGTGACCAGTGTTGCAGGTGTTGGGGGTGAGGCAAGTGTTGGGGGAGTGACGGTGATGGTAATTGAGAGGCATTTCCTGGGGTCTTAGTATATTCCCAGTAATTACTGGAGTTGGGGGAGGGAGGGGTGGATGAAGGGAGGGAGGAGGGGGGGTGGTTGGAGAAGAAGGGAGAAATGGGGAGTAGGATAGAGGAGGGGGGTGGCCAGACTGTAGGGCGTGGCTCACACAGACAGACAGACAGCCAGCCAGGCTTTCAGATCAGATTCTCAGGTATGCCAATATTCGCATACACTCAGTACAAGAGAATTAGTACAATAATAAATTAATAGTACTCAGAGTTACAACACTTAATGTTTACGTTATAAGTTCTCAGTACTCAAGGTTACAATTATTTCAGTAGTACACAAAGTTTAAAGTTACAATTTATCAGTACAATACTTACATTTACCATTACACGTCAAATGTACTCAAGGTTACCATTGTTTTAGTAGTACTCAAGGCTACCATTACATGTTAACATTACTCAGCGAACTCCTTGAACGACACTTAAAAGTTTATAGCAAATCACACCTGTGTCTTAGAAGGTCCAGGTGAGCACCAACAAACTGTGAGATAATTTAGAACAGCCAGGTAGTGTAAGTGTTTCTGCTCCACTGCTAATTACCACCACAATGACGGAAAGTCCCACATCAAACATGATTGCATATTCACTCATCATTTTGACGAGATTTATGAAAAGCAAACGAGTGATGTATATATTTTATTTTTTATTTTTTTTTATATACCTGTGATGACGGAGTACTTGTTGATGTGTGTTTTGCGAGCTGGTAAATCTGGCGTGCGTTACGATGACGCATTTTGTCAGCTGGAATTAATTTCTTTGTTGTTACGATACCACCACCGCATTACGTAAGTGTGGCGCAGGTGAAAGTTGGTTCCAGGCGGCGGCTTGCAGGCGGGGAATTTGGTGTGTGTGGTGTTCCTCCAGCAGACCACTCAGGGGTACTTCTGGTTGCTGGTGGATCTTCTTGTAGCTCGCTGGTGTTCCTCCAACAGGACACTAACTGATCGTGCTGCTGCGGAAATGCCTCCCACGTCATCCTACCACAGGACCTCCCCCCCCCTCCCATGCTGCACTACTGGGCTTAACCCGCCTCTCTGGTCTTCCTGAATTATATTAATATTTACAGTGTTTGTAGCAATAATTTCGACATTTATAGTAATTATTGTTTACAAGCTCAGCACCAGTGTACTGTCTTAACATTCAGAACACAACAGTCACCAGACGAATAGACTCTTGTCAATAAAAAGGAGACACGCCTGCCATCTGTTGGCGGCGGGGGAATATATCACCACGTGGGTACCTGCTACCACACTCTGGTAGGGGAGACTTGCTTAAATTGCCGTACCCAACACTTACGCCTCACGTCTTGACAATATTTATGTATCAATACGCGTGTATGTGGCGACTATTGGTATCACGTCAAAAGTTGTATTATAGAATAAGTTAACAGTGATTGTAATATTGCAGAAATATGTAATTATTCAAGTTATTAACTTATTTTATCTTCCTTTCAGCTGTTCGTGCTGACCGTATGCGAGGAGGAAGGAATAAGTTTGGTCCCATGTACAAGAGGGACCGAGCACGAAAATTACAGATGCTCCGACAGCGACAACTGTCTCATCCCGGGATCCTGCCTGGCGGCCGGCACCCGACCACCTCCGGTGTGGCCATCACCTACTCCACCCCGGGCTACTCCTCAGCGCCCTCACATGTACACATCAAAGAAGAAATACAGAGTCCCTTCCTGTCATCGTCCACGTCATCGCCCGACTCGTCTCCGTCCCCCATGGGTGGGCTGGGCGGGTTAGTGGCGGCCTCCAGCGGCACCAGTGGCTTAGTAGCCTCTGGACCCGTAGCGCCCATCATTGCCGGCCCCGACCCCACCCTCTGGGTTACCAACACTCAGTCCCCAGCCGCCGGGGTAACCACAGGTGCGCCGCCCTCGGGTGGCGTGGGCGGCGGGGGAGGCGGAGGACGTGCAGCTACGGGTGGCCCCAGGGTGCCCCTAATGATCCGCGAGCTGGTAGAGACCGTGGACGACCAGGAGTGGCAGGCCTCCCTCTTCTCCCTCCTCCAGAACCAGACCTACAACCAATGCGAGGTCGACCTCTTCGAGCTCATGTGTAAAGTGCTCGATCAGAACCTTTTCGCTCAAGTCGACTGGGCGCGCAACTCTTATTTCTTCAAAGATCTCAAGGTGAGTACGGCAGACCCCAGTACTGTGATGCTAACAAACTGGGTTTTTTATTAACTGGCCGACGAGCATGAGAGGAGACAAGGTAACTAATGATTTACCAGTCACGGTAACGCATCAAGCGTGTGACCTCGTGAGTGCCACGCTCAGCATCGTAACGCAGTTTTGCGGCACAGTCCCACGGAACACTGGTTACTGGAAACAGTTACATGCTACCACCTCTCTCATGACCATGATTGTTAGATTGTTAACACATAATTAACCTGGCAGTTCTTATAGGTTGAAAACTTGGTGCTGGTGGCCTTTAAAAACTAAAAATTTCCATAAGTCCATGAAATATGTTTTTCAGAAGTATACACGAGGTGTGCTGTACTGTATAACAGGTGTGAGGCCGCTGACGACGACCTTCATAATAGTAGTCGTAGTTCACAGATCACATAGAGGCTATCACTGGTCGACATGGCGATGTATATTTTTGTCTATTTACATATTTACACTCATATTATTAAAAAGTATAATATGTATCATTCCATTAGTTATGCATTATAGTTTCATCATTCATTCTCGATCTTTTGAGGTTTATTAATACTTATATGTATTCTTTTGCTCTTAATATATTGTAAGTCTTCTCGCTGATCGCTCTTGGGTATAATCAGATTTCGTTTAAATGTAATATTGTAAATTAAGTTTTCGGACTGAGTTGATCCACCGTGATTATAATACAGCTAAGAGCGAGTACAAATGTGATTAATCAAGCGTCAGTACTTAAAGGTTGACAGGAAAAAAAGATTTATTACTCACGCAATGTCAGGTTTATCGGAATGAGTACACGATGGCTAGCTACAACCTGGACTGATACAGTGTACGGTCTGCCACCACCGATACAACGTCGTACCCCTACTGCACTGTAGATAATATTTTTCGCCGATAACCATATATTCAACATACAGTAATAAGAATATTCAAATTTTCTGTAATCATAGGAAAATAAATAGTAATACTCTTATTCGTTAAACAATACAATAATGTAAAAGGATCTTGGCAACTTAGGATACGGGCCACCACAGAGAGAGATTGTGGGTGCCGGCCTCGGTGTCAGGGAGGCCACCACGACCGGATTCCGAGAGCGACATTTGGGTCAGTAGTGCCAAGTGCACGAAACGAGGCTATACCCTGGCATTTTCGATTTCGTTTGATATTTTTAGTTTTACGTGATCCCATAGGTTAAGCAAATACAATTACGTTGTATTATTTTCTTTTGTAGCTTTTATAAGGGTTTACGAGTACGGATTTATAGAGGGAGAAATTACATTACTAGCGGTACATGAAAATAAATGACGTCACATGACCCACTCTCCCTCTCGTTTGTGATACTCTTCCCGCCCTAACACGGATCATTCTATCAATACTGTCGCTTTCAGGCCTCGTTATTTTTCATTATCTTTACCACTTTGAACATTAATGTTTACTATTATTTTATAATCTAATATTTCCATCATTTAACAAATATGTTATACGGTGCAAACTGATGATGGGTTATATCGGGTTATCTGATAAATAGTATTATAATTATTGGGACTCAAGAAATCTTAATATTGTATATATGTTAGCATTCATATATATATATATATATATATATATATATATATATATATATATATATATATATATATATATATATATATATATATATATATATATGGGATAACCTTTAACATGCCAGCAGAACTAGGTCAGAGGACCTTAAAAGTAAATTTACCTTTTCTGTAAATAGAACCTGGAGATCATAAATGATATTGTACTTCTGGTAGATTATCTAATCACACAACAACACTACGAGAACATCACCTGCATCTGCCGACACACCACAATGGGGAACATAAGGCTGTTTTTTTTTTTAGGGAGAGAATGACGCAAGCGGGCACCAGGCTCTCTGTGTCAGTGTGTCAAGGCTCCCCGCCACCCTATGTGCTCTCTGGCTGCCTCGCTCTTTTGCCTTTGTCACTTTCATTCATTCACTGAATCACCAAGTATCTGGCGCCAGTTTGTGTACTTATACAGGGACTGTTAATTTTTATAAATACCCCGTGAGTAGATGTTTAACATATCGTGGTGGCGTATTACTTTTATTATTTAGGTGTAATAAGCTGGTTATCATCCTTAATATTTATGTGTTCTTCATTTACATGACACACACACACACATGAACACACGTGAATTCATGTATACACTCATACCCCATGTGTACACTAAAGAAAAAACAATTATCCAGAACCTTCAACAGAATGTATTTTAACATATGATAATAAGAAAAGTAAAGTGTTGATAAAACAGGCGGTGAAGGGAAGTGGGTCAAGGGCGAGGAGACGAGAGAGCGTGTGCTGCTGCTGGCCTCCCGCCCTCCGCAACACATTATGTAGTGTCTCTACAATGAAATTTCGTATAAAATTTTTTGAAGGTCGAATTCGGTGACGGACATTAGGACTATTTAAGTCGAAAGAATTTACACCGGATGAAAAATTATACATGTACTGTACTGTATATTGAATAAAGATATACGTAATTGGAATAAAAATGAATGTAGAGGATGGGTGGCACAAATATTTAGATGAAAGAAATACGTAGATGGATGAAGGATATATATATATATATATATATATATATATATATATATATATATATATATATATATATATATATATATATATATATTAAACTTTTAGCCAATTGTAGACTATGTAGACTATAGTTTTTAACAATGTTGTTACAGTGGATGTACTGTAGAGTAGTTGTTACAATGGACGGGGAGACTATAGTCGTCGTTACAGTAAGATAGTACAGTAGGTGTAGTGAGCGTGATGGCGCAAGCAGCTTCGTGGAGCCCAACACGGAAGGCTGGAAGGCTAGGTTAGCCACTTAATTTGTATGCTATGCATTTTTTCGCATCACCACCACACGACGAGCCCATCCCACACGTGTTAACATATTTTGTCCATTACATTATTTAGTGTACTACAATGTTCTAAGTAAATTAATAGATAACGAACTCAATAAATAAAACATTATGGAACAAGAATATGAGGGTGTCTTGGTTTATGGTGATCTTGTTGTGTATGACGACTAGTAGATAGGTAAGGCGGTAGGTACAGAGGAGGTGGTTAGGTGATTGGGAGGCGGGCGGTGGGTGGTGGGGAGGCAGACGCAGGTTTCCGTCACTACACCAAGGCCAGCCCCAAGGATGACAAAGTGGCGCGCACTGCCTCCTGTAACTTCCTCACCCTTACTCTAACCCACCACCAGTGCGATTCTCCTTTGCCTCGCAACAGATAATGAGAAACGTTACACTGATCATTGTTCTTGAGAAAATAACTTCTATGATAGTTAGTAGCAAGAGGGAGCTATTATCAGATAGCAGGCTGTGGACTTCCTTCTTTGTTGAGCCCGCAGGTTACAAGCGGCCAAGTGTAGAATAGACACCTTGTGAATACTTCAAGTGGCGTATGAAGACTTACGTGCTATTAAACACAAGGATGAGAGAGACTTTACATACATCGACAACATCAGTAGATCTTAGTTGTTCTATGGAGGGGACTTATCACACTACAGTACATAACTTATGTACCCCAAAAACAACCTTAAAACTTTAACTCTTACAATGTTTAACAAGACTGTTCATAGTATTATCTGAGATATTTAAAGACTTCGATTTTTAATTTGTTTAGTAAGAGTGTTTATTAAAACATTTAAGCTTGTAAGTAAAGAGAGGCTGTGGATTCGTCAGTGCTTTGAAAAAACTCATGAAAATGCTGATGCTTGATACACAGACGTTATATCTTTTAACATGAGCTTGTTGCATGTGATCGAGGCAGATTCCGAAAAAGAAGTAGATGTATAGATAAATGGGAAGTGTATTCGCTAAATCTCAAACGTAAATCACGTAACTTGTCTGTACAGTGTCAAAGCATAGGCAAACTACTGTAACATCCACACAAATCAGTGTAACAATTAGAAGCAACTAAGTCCAACCTAACCTAGTACGAGAAACAACGGTAATAAATACGAAGTCAAGGTCGTGGTTCATATTATCTTGCTGCCTTAACTTTCCTTAGCCACACACACCGTCAGGCTTTCCCTTTCTTTACGGTCCCACGTCCTGCATGTGTCGCAAACACTTCTCCCTCATCGTCTCGCCTCACTTATCACACACATCAGTGCATTCGTTCAGTTTTAAATAAACCCCACCTGTTTATTTAGAGGTCTTTGGCCTCTACATGTATAGCAGGATTTTTTAGCATTGAGGAAGTCGAGAATAAGATCGACTATTTTGTACAGTATTTGTTGAAAATAGACAGGCTAGGTGGATGTGTTGTGAATTCCGTGCAGAGTAACGTCAAATAGTTGTACATAATCCTTGGTAACTACTAACGTAGTAGTATATGGGGCATGCCCTCGAAGATGACGAGTAGTATGGGCTGAAACAGGTGGTTCCATGACAAAACCCCAACGGGGTTGTCATTTGTCAACACTAACCTAAACATAAAAGTGTGTTATTTTGTATTTTATATATGAGACTGGGGTTTTGTCCGTTGGGGTTTTATCCGGTCACCGAAACAGGTATACTGTATGGTATCTCTCCTATCTCTCCTTGGCTCTACGGTATCCCAGGTCAGCCGACGTAGGTTAGTGGGCCAGCAAGTATGGTAGTTAATGGCTGGGGCCAACAACAGAGAGAAACACCACTCATTGCTGGTGTACGAAAGTGTTTGTGCATAGCTGAAATTAATGTTATGTTGACTGTTTATCCTTTAGTTAAAATGCACCATGATCATAACTCATACCTTGGGGTGATATTTGTATGATCTGTTAAATGGACGAAGTTTTCTGCACAGTGTGTTAGATCCACAACTGGCAATTGCTTTAAAATGTTCAGATTAGATTCCCGAACTTTATCATTGAAAGTACTGTATGCTCCTCTTAGATTGGGCTGACTCAGAAGCTAAGGCTTCAATCAGTCACTCTTCTGGCTATAGAATGACTTAATATACAGTACAGTATTTGTATAAGCTTAACCGGAATTCTAAATTTATATCAATGGTAACTTCTTTTGGCAAGTTTTATCTCTCCATTTTTTCTTTATCTCTGCTTGTCAATCCATTAATATTTTTAATGGCTGTGAATGTTTTTACATACTTTGATGTACATTGGCCCCCTAAGCCAGAACAGATATGTTTCAAAGAAAAAAATACCAGTGTATTATCTGTACAGTATAGTACAGTAGTTTGCATTCTCGGCAGGTAAAATACTGTACAAGATATACAGTAAAGTGCAGTATCATTGTTTGTAATTATTAATGTCAGTATAGTATTCAAACCGTCTGTGAATATAACTGGGTTATACATAGTTTGACATGCTGTGAACTGGGTCACTAAGGGTCATCTTGCCTACATCGTTGCACCTGTAGGGTTTCAGATAATGTTCCTATATGACGTTGACACAGCATCTTACTGTAGATATAAGAAATGAAAATGATTTTAGGAGGCTGTCAGCCATGCCTTTATTGACAAGAAATACTGTATGGCAATTTTGTACATACAGTTTATTGGGTTTTCTATGAATTATCACTTCCTGGAACTTAGTTGTAAATGAGATTTGAAAACTACAGTACAGTACTCAAATTTCAAATTCATTGAGGATGTATATGACAATACAGGATTGACCTTTATTTGTTTTTAAATATTGTACTTTATTGAAAATATTCCTTATAGAAATAAGATTATTGTATTCGAAATTAATCAACATTGTTCAGTATATTGAAGTTCAGAGTACTTTATACAAGTAAGAATGGAATTATGATACAGTACTGAGGTAGTCACTGGAATGTTATACATGGCACACAATTTACTTAAAAAATATATATTGCAATTTGTTAGCATTTCACCTCAATTTGATTTGGGCAAACCAGAGCCAACACCATTGAAATTTACTCATATGTGATCAGTGCTGGATTTAGACCTGTGGAGGCCCATGGGCAGCCTCTTTGTGGAGGCCCCCCACATTATAACTACCCAAAAGGGTGGGGTGGCGAGTGAAGCGAGCCTAAACATCTGGGAGTTCCGGGTAGTGTTGTAAGCCCCCCGGGAAATTTTTTTAAATTTGAACACTTCTTTGGAGAATTTTGAAGTCATATGCAGTTATATTGAGGAAATTAGAACATTGAGAAATTTTTAATTAACTGTATATTTATTGATAGTGTACAAATTCCCAACACACACACACACACACAAGTGAGACATGACTGGAGTCATTCATGTGGTTTCAAGTCGACCAGCCCTGATATAGCTACTACCACACATGTGGAGGCCCCCAGATTGTGGAGGCCTCTGGGCAGCTGCCCACTTTGCCCACTCCTGAATCCGGCCCTCTATATGATGTGTCATGATTCAAGTTTGCGAACTCCAAAAGAGCTTTGTGTATTTGTAACCATATTTTGCATACAGTATTTGCAGTGTAGAGCACATGCAGATTAAAAAAAAAAAAAGAGGCAAAAGCTGGTACTGTATACCGGTAAGATAGTGTAAGGTTATGCTATGTCCAACACTATATAGTATCTGTCAAAAATTACTATTAAATTATTCTTTTTCTTTCTTCAGGTTGATGATCAAATGAAGCTGTTACAGCACTCTTGGTCAGACCTGCTCATCTTGGACCACATACATCAACGTATTCACAACAGGCTCCAGGTACGGTTCTCTTTCTTTTGTTATATTGTACTGTACAATGAATTATAAAGAACTTCTCTCATAATGATATTTAACAATTAACAAGCAATTGTGCATTTAGCTTGAAGTTAGCATTTACAAAAACGTTTTAGGGTTGTTTTTTAAGAGTACAGTATACAGGTACCTGTACTATAGAACTACTTACTGTACATATACTGTACTGTACTCTTTTTGGCAGTAGATATTTTTAATTAATATTTTTAATAAAATTTGGTACATATTAATCACAATTCTTAATTTCTTGTCAACAGGATGAAACTACACTACCTAATGGTCAGAAGTTTGACCTGCTCTCCCTGGCCTTGCTAGGAACCACTCAATTTGCTGATCGTTTCCATACTGTTCTCAATAAACTAGTAGATCTCAAGTTGGACATCCCAGAATATGTCTGCGTCAAATTTGTGATTCTTCTGAATCCAGGTATGAATTCATTTACAGTACTCATATTTTATAAACATTTGCTTTAGTTTTGCACAATATCTTTTGGAAATTTTATGCATCTGAAATACTGTACTGCAAATATTTTCTAATTTTCTAAGACTACTATGGCTGTTATGTTTTATCCAGTCTTACTTCATAAAAGTATTACGAAGATTTTAGCTTTTGAACAGTCATTTATATATAATATTTTTTGCAGAGGTTCGGTTGCTAAGTGATCGTCGGTCGGTGGTAACTGCCCATGAACAAGTACGACAGGTGCTGATGGAATACACTGCCGGCATGTACCCAGAGGAAACGGTATGTTTCTTTTCTTTAATATGCTGTAATTTGTGTTGTTCCTATTTGTCCTTAAAATTATTGCACAGCAAGGTAAGGTAATATTGTACCCCCTGTACTGCATATACAATATTTATTATTCATACTGGTACAGTAGTATCTTAATTTAAATGACTTACAAGTAGATGTTGAGTTTTCTGTATTTATAAAATAAAAAAGATCAGTACAGTATTGTTTCAGTGTAATTTCTTGTTAATTAATGTTCATATATGTTAGCAGTTCCTTTGCTTTCTACTTACTGTAATTACTCAGAGAACATCCTTTTCTGAATGAAAAAGAATCCTCAGAGCTCTTTATTGATTTCCAAAGTTCTGTGAAACCAGGAAAGCTTCTTGCTGATCAGAGAACTTTCTAAAATGTATTGACAAATACTTTTGCTTTATAGTACTGTACAGTATAAAGTTTATTTAAGAAAAAATATACAGTATTGTTATTAAGAATGACAATGTTGCTTGACTTACATGATGTTATATTTTTGCATAAAAGTAGTGCCCAAACATTAAAGCAGCCTTGTTGATTTACTTTCCATACTATATATACTGTAACAAGACTGCCATCCTAAGGAAAATGGCTGAGCTCAAACAGATAACCATTTAATCACTAATATTCAAGAAAACTACTTGTACATTGTACTGAACTGTATGCTAGTGTGTGGCACCTGGTATATTCTGTCATTTCAACTTTTGTAAGTTTTCAAACATTCCTTCTATTACAGTATCCCATTTTCTTTGGGATGACAGCAGGTGTTTCCTCTGATGGGAAATGATTAACTGTGATTAGCCTTCCTCATTGTAATGACGGATTCCTATGTTATCAGTAATGGACAGAATTTTATCCTAGTATTTTTAAGAAGGCTAACTATAGTGTTCATATCACCTATCTTCCTCTTCTTTCCTGACTAAGACTTGACTTATTAAGATCAGTTTTGGAACATTACCTTGTACTGTATGCTCTTCTCTAATGTTGTCATTTGTTTGTTTATTGCAAATGAATAAGCATTTTTTCTCTTTTTTTTTTAGGTTAATTTTTTCTGAAAATTTCTTATTGAAATCCTTTATTGTCACTCTTAAATCTGCAGAACTATGGTGGTAGTAGTGTAGGTAAAAATGTGAAGGATACAATGAAATGCTAGTCATTGCAATTTTTTCATCAGTTACCAAATCATAATTCTTCTGACTGACACAAACCCGTCCCACAGTTTGTCTTTTCCAGGCATATTTTGACCGTCCCCATGAACCAGCAGGTTACCTCACTGTTGGCATGCAGGCAAGCCGGTCCTAATGGTGGTGAGGTTATCCATGCACGGGTCAAAAGGGCACTCCCTGACAGACTCATGTGCTATCTGTTTTAATGTCAATAAGCCCTGGGGTCGAGTTTATGGGTTACTCTTTCTTACAAGTACAGTATAGATTTAGGATTTTAATTTAATTTCATTTTGTCATTGCAGGTGTTTCTTTTACATATTATATTACCAACATTAAGAGCATTTATGGTTAGCTTGTTTAGTTGTTGCATTGATGTATCTTTGTGTCCTTCACTTAGTTGTATGTAGGTGTTTGTTGTTATATCCCATTCGTGTAGTAAATACAAGAGTACGTACTGTATAGATTGTGCTTTGCCAGGTTCTCTTATTTTGTTAACTACATTTGATTTCTCGTCCTGGTTTCATTTGTCATTGTTTGTATTTCCCCTGACTGTAAGTACCACTAGCTGTACATTATATACAGTATATATATGTTTCATCATACTATTCATATGGCTGTTGATTTGAGTCTTTCCTTGGTAAGGTTGTTCTTTATTAAAGTAGTAAATGCATCTGCAGTTTAAGCTTTTTGTTCCTCAAGAAATTTGTTACATGTATCCCATGGTAACTACTTCCGCAAAAATCCCGATAACTGACTGCCACATCTGTTTTCCTGCTTTTCTTCTTTTCCAGACCTTGCTAATTCTTCTCTCTTCCTAGAATATGAATCTTTATGCCTGACTTCACTACTGTTCTTGTCTGCTCTTGTGTTTGGGCAGCCTCTTGTTACCTCAGGGACTGATTCACTCCACTGCTAGGAGAGAATTTTTGGCTAGCAATAATTCTCTTCATTAGCTGTTTATAGAAAAAAATAAGTTTAATCCAAAATCCCATTTCATGGTTGAGCCCAGAATTAGGTACTGTATCTTGAGTACAATATTAAGTTCACCACGTCTACAGGTCACCGCTTGGGAGACTCTTGACATGGGTGGCTGGGATTTGTTCCTGTCACAATCAATATTTAAAAGGTATCTTTGGAAGCAGCAGTCACATTTGTTGAAGTGGTGCTGTGGCCTCTTGCCTTCTACTTTTAATGGCGAATGTCACTTCAGAGCCTTTCCAAGGACTTGGCAGTGACAGGAAGAAATTTACAGTATCTATGAAATAGGCTTGGCCTCCTATGGTGAGGGTTTCCTGGATCTCGACCCATCTCATTGACCTTAATAATAAGTCACAACATTAAGGGGTTTTTTCTTTTCTTTTTTTAGTTGTGTCAGTTCCTTGGTGTAGCATAAATAAGGCTGTTACATAATTTGATTACTTTAGGAGAGAAATTACCTGGTATTTATTTTTGCATATAATCCTCAGGAGAAATATCAGAAGATATTGGACCTACTGCCAGAACTGCACTATATTGCTGATAATGGTGAGAAATTCTTGTACTACAAGCACATAAATGGCGCTGCACCTACGCAGACCCTTCTAATGGAGATGCTACACACCAAAAGAAAATAGAGAAAGTGTCATCTTTCTGCTTTCAACCGTCCAGTGCGCCACATGTGTATATGAAGGTAAGGTTTCATTATATGAGTTTGTATTGTCTGTAAGATAATTAAAGTATTGTGAGACATCATCATTTTATTTCATTACAGTATTGTATTGTTGTTTATATATTTAAGACATTACAGTAAATCTTCATTAATATATGATTTCAATTAAAACATTGAACAAGTACAGGATTTTTTTTTAAACAGGCCTCACTACATCACCATGTTACCACACCAAAAATTCATGTTAACGCTCATCACTGCTTACCTAGAACATCCTCTCAACATTACTTTGCATCTCCAGTGTGATAAAATTATTTCATTATGAATACTGTACACAATAGTAACTGTACAGTACAGCATAATATGATAAGGATATACCGTACCATTAAATGTTAAGATATATCTCTAATCAAGAGTTGAAGACATTTTAAGTTACCATCTTTGCTTGTCGCCTCATACAATAAAGCCAATTAGCCTTTGTTTTATTATTAATTTGCACACTCCTATTTTCATAAAAGGAGAAGTATAATCATTATCAATATAGTATAGTATAGTGAATGAAGCATTGCATAAAAGAAGCAAGTATGAAAATGAAAGTGTCTCCCATTAGCATTCTGTGTACATAACAGTACAGATGACGAGGAGTGACATCAAAGTGATTTGCTTGTGGTGTTTTGGTGCTTTTCTGGTGACTTTGAAGAAAGCAGTGCAATATCTTTCAATTTGGTTAGACAACACTGGAGCTTTCCTTTTGGAAATTGCTGATGGAAATTGCCTTATTGCTGCCTTATTCCTAATACTGTACTGCATTAAACAAATTAAATATTTTAACATTTTGCTTTATCCACTCTTAAGACTTAATATCACTGAGCAGAAAGAATACCTCACTTATGCATTTCTGCCAATTAATGTGGAGAGTCAGACATTTACTGTGCAGGTGATCTCACAGAAATGAATGACATCATGGGATTATCAGTTTTCCCCACATATGGGTTTCATTTAAACTTGTTGGAAAATTCTATAAGATTTTCTTACTTTTCCCATGGATATTACAATAATGTACTGTCTCTAAATCAAGTAAGAAATATTTTGGTTGGAGATTTGTTTGTTTAATGCATAATTTATGCTGCTTAACTATCACATTCGTGAAAGATTTACACATGTTGAAAATCCATTAAAATAGATGAGCCTTTGACCAGAAGAGCTGTGTATGTTTAATTATGGGTTTTAGTATACGTACAATATTTGCTTTATAAGGGTTGTTTAATAGCATGTACCCGGTATGTGGTAAAAATGGCAGTAATAAATGGTTTCATAGTTCATGACACTTGGCCCTTATTTTCCCAATTATGGATTTATATTACCCATAAGTTAGGAATTGCAGCCTTGCATAGAAGTAAGGGTTTACCATCCAACAATACTGTATAGCCTTTTTAAAAGAAAACCACTGACCTGTTGTTTACACATGTGAACTGAAGGTGTTGAGACTTATGATATTGTTTCTTGCCAGTATTATCTGCTCAACAAAGCTAGAGTGAGGAGGCGGCGGGGAGGGCATGGATGTGGGGTCCATTTATGTCTGTCAAAGTTTCATTTCTGAAGCTTAATTCATAAAAAAAAGTTAATATTAATTTTTTTTATTCAAATTAACCTACTGGGAAAGCAGTGCATTTTGCTTATAAGTGAAAAGTACCGTACTGGCTTTATTTCACGTGCAAATTAATGTTAGGACGAAATTTGAATAGAAAATATGCTTATAAATGTATAATTCTTAATGAAGAATTTTGTTTGTACTTCAGGGTGGACACGAAAGTTTTAGTCACCACACCAGGCCGGAAGGAGGGTCTCCACCATGACCAACACATACACAACCATCCCGGGTCAATCACCATGGGATTCTCAGCTGTGTTTCCACCGAGCGAGTGATTTAACTACTGCAACGCATGGAAGGAGCCCCTATGACACTGCCCATCCCATTTAAGCCAGCTCCGGGTCAGCTCTGCTGGTTGTCTCTCAGTAGTTATGAGTTAAAGAAATAAATTAAAATATTTTGATATTCCATAAGAAAAGAACCAAAATTGACATTCATCTGTAAACTCAAAATTACTGACTCTGTCAACTCAAAAGAGATCTACTCCGACCCAACACCACTCTGCGGTCACAAGCATCCGTCTGGTGAAGTGCTGTGCTAGTCATACCCTCTGAGGGGCAGTAAATGTCATTCCCGAGCCTGAGATATAAACATTAATCTATGGTGCTAAGCCTTCCTGGGGATACCATAAGTACAGACAGCCAAAGGAACTCATGTGAGACAGGCGGCTAATGGTGAGTGCTAAGTGGTCCCCTGTTAATTGTTACCAGAAGCACCATGGTGCAATCAGGACTAATATAAGGAAGATGAGGCTCCAAGTGTTGATCAGTCAGTGGTGCGCTACTCTCACTGAACGATATTATCCCTTACACATCCTCTGTTTCTGTGGCGCATCATACCTCATTTCTCACTTTTCTTATGGTGGCGGTCTCCTCACTCACTTTGGTACAAAGCTCTCACTTGTGAATATGTTTCACCACTTATATATCTATTTATTTCTGAATATAATTGTAAAACCTGGGCATATGTCCAATCAGCTGTTTGCCCAGATACATAAATATTAACTTCATACATTAATGCATAACACATATAGAGTGTAGGTGTTGTGAACTAGTTTTTGATACTGTTGTTTTGTACAAGAGATTATAAAGTAGCAGAGTAATGTATTCTTGCATGAGCAATCATCTTTACCCAGATATTGCTGCCACTTGTCCAGGAAATGTGTTCCGTGCGAGGTAGGCAGGCTGACTGCTCTCCTTGTTTATGTCTATCACTTAGATGATAATGATAATTTGTAGTTTGTTGATTATCAAGCAGAAGCATAAATTTCTAGTGCCTCAACTAGGTTAACCTAGCATGTACAAAACACAGACATTTTGGAAGTTGTGGCACATGAACTAGCACATGCAGGAGGCATATGGGTCTTTTACCATTGGTTTTTACTATATTTATCATATGACCAAATTGTTTTAATCATACATCATTTTTATCGCTTTTAAGGCATTATCAGGCATTTATTTTTTATTGAAGTTTTCTTTTGCAAAGAAACTGTGCCTGTGCCATATGCCTGCTGATGGAGCATAAGTCTTATGAGGAAAGTTACTGTTAAAATGTGTCAGGAAATCTTCTTTATTTACTTGAGTTCCAGTTCTGAATTAACTATTGTATATGTTGTGTAAAAGTATATACCTGGCAATGAGAAGCAATAGGTCTTTTTTCTTCTTCTTTTAGTTTTAAATAAATCTATTTTAGTTTAAGCGTTGAATTAAGATTTGGAACATTCCAATTCAAGGGATTCACGGGCATTCTTCACTTTGGTTATGCATTACTGTACCTTGGTGGTCTTTTGGCATAATCACTGACATCATCCATCATAATAATCATCACTGTTGCTGCTCCACATTCCGCATAGCTAATTATCATTATTGCTGCTAAAACATTGCATTTCTGTCTTTGTCTTTCTGGTCTTTTTTTAGATTTTTAATTCACCTCTGTATAGTTTCCTTTGTAGATGTGTAATATTTTTCTTCTGTTCTCTTCATTTTATTGCTACTCATTGCAAGTCTTGAAATTTTGACATAGATTTATAACTTTTTCTGTATTAATGAAGAAAGCATTAATCTGACTATAATGTACATGTTACAGACAGCAGGTAACAGTATCCCTGCCACTTTTAACATTAATGCTGTATTTCCTATCTTTCGCCTACTTACAATGTGCACATCTTTCATTAATTGTTATTATTATCATCATTATTTTAAATCTGATTATGGTACGTTTTCCAAAAATCTATACCAGTGAAAATTGGAGGTGATCTTAGCCTTTAACAAAAATAAAATTATTTTTGTACCATTTGAAATCTATTGCCATTAAATCAACTATAAACATTATTATATATATATATATATATATATATAAAATCACAGATTGACTTAGATCTATCAGGATATGGTGTACAGCTGTTGAATTCTAAGAGAGATTTATTTTTGGAACCAATATTTTCAGCACAAGTATGGTGTTGGGATGAATCTAAGTCACCCTGTGCTCATTTTCTCATTATAAGTGAGGTTAAGGAATCTGAACATTTAATATTACCTCTGGGGATCTTTTAAATGTGTTGTGAATAGAAAATAATCCTAACAGGGATAATTGATTGTTCAGAATCCTTGATCTCTTCATATTTTTTACTCTTCCACTCTTCAAGATACTATGTTCACTGCAGAGATGTTTAATGCCCATTTCTTTCACGACTTGATTTTAGGAAAAATGAATTTAGTTTACTTTTTTCTAATGGCATTGAATTACTTGACTGTTAAACACTGAAAAATTGTACATATTTCTCTCATGTCTTGTAAAGAAATACACAAGTGTTCTTTGTAAAAACTGTACTCTAAGAATATATTTCTATCTCCATATGATGATTCTCACAAGTGTTTTTCCTATGATGGAAGCCGTAGAAATGCTTTTTAACTTTTCTTAATTATTTCACACCAGTGCCTATTGATAACTTTTTCTGTTAAGAGAGAATCATCACTTGAAGATTAAGTTTTATATGAAACAAACCCAAAACAGGAGTAGCCCTGGGATTGTAGGTTCTCTATTAGATTCTATAATTAATGCTAATAATTGAGATGGGATTAATAAAGTGTTTTATTTAGAGCATTTCTTTTCTTACAGTTCTCCTCTACAAATTATCTTATCAAATTCCTTTTTCAAGTACAGTATGCAGGTCTTCCTGAAGTCTGTACTCATAAGAAGAATTTACTACCTTCCTTTATTTGTGTAAAATATTCAAGAACTTGCATATGGTTTCACCCCCTCCACAGTAATTCCAATGCACTCATTCTAACTCGTTCTTCAGCTTGTCGATATTATGTGGTCTTGTGTCTAATGAAAGTAGTGGCATTAGATACTGACTGTGGGGCCATGGCACCTTATCTACTTCTAAGGCATCATTTCATACAACCAGTTGCACAGGGTGGTTCCAAAATATGGAGGGGCCCTTCTTTTGAAAAATTCAAATGTATTAGTGGTGTATCATTCAAACAAGGATCCAAAAAACTCTAATATTGCTGAGTAACTAATATCTCTGGTATTTTCTTTGAGAAAATAAGTCTTAAAGAACATTTCCATGATAAGCACACACAATCATTCTGAACATGAAGTTCATCTGTCCAACAAGGATTCCAATTGCTTTTATACTGACAATTGACTGTTAATTGTCTTATTTAAATGACTGGGGATTTATCATTGAAGATAACACCAGAAAACAATGTTGGTTATGCCTCAAAATTATACATTAACTCAAAACATTTCATTCGCCAGTGTGCATCATTATCACAAAGCTCTTGGATGGACCTTACCTCATGAGGAAGGAATTTGGGTTGCATTAAAGTTCTAGCAACAGCAGAACAGCTACCTCCTGCTTCTTGAATTGTTTTCTTCAATTAATTTCTTGGGTTTCTTGTTACAAAAAAAAACAGCCTGACATTAGGAAGAAGAAATATAACTTGTAAATTATGTGGCACGGACCCCTTGTGAGAAGTTTAATAGATCTAGATCTAACTTTGCTAACATTCCAAGGCCATCTATTTTGAGTAAGAATGTACAAAGAATTCTTCGAGCAAGCAACCAGTGAGGATGAGATACCTCTGATGCAACATGCTCTGGGTATTTGCATCTAGAATTATTATTAGTAGTGTACAGTATATATATAAATGTCACAGTATTGTATACCCACATGGAGCCATTATGCATCCCAAAGTCGCGGTCAGAAATATACAAAACCGTAAAAAATTCAGATGACACACCTATGTTACAGTGTAGCCATCCCATTCCCATCATTGATGACACAAACTTTAATATATATCAAATGTTGCCAACTGGACCCGCTAAACCAAGGACTATTGCACTAAACACTCCGAGTATAACTTCCTTATTTGATATTCCTTGGTGTAAACAGCATCTTGCCGTCATTTGTTAAACCATAAGCCTGAGTGACGCCGTGAGGGAAGGTTGTGCTACTGGCTGCTCTGTGGTGAGTAAATTGTTAGTATTTTTATTTTCATATTAAGTTACATGTGATGTTAGAGTTGGTCAACCACCACCATGGTAGTTTATCAACTCAACAAGTAGTTACTGAGTGTTATTCTGTCATCAAATAAAAGTTTATGGTTAATATTGACAACTGACCTAAAATGTTAAATACATTTATTTTACATCGAATTTAGTTAAGAATGAGGGTAAATTTATATTAGAGTACATAATTCGTTATTATTTTTTGTCTCAATTATAAGTTCAGACAAAAACAGGCGATTTTCTTCTATGACACTTTCTCCCAGTTTACCGTAACCGAGATACGTGGTTAATAGCACCAACCAAACCTATGAAACCTTACCTACCAGTTTTGTGCAGTTTCATCATCCCAAACCCAATTACAGCATTAATTTTAGTAAAAAAAAACTAATTATATTGGACTAACTCGCGAACGAAATTGATTGAAAACAATTATAAAAATGCCGGATTTTCATTGTTATATTATAGTGGAGACTGTTGTACTTTGTGGAAATGTTAAAAATGGATATATTTTTTTTTTTTAAATAAACGCTACTTAACATTTGTGGGTATGAAGAACAGATCTAACCAACCAAGCCAAACAAACTTACCCAACCTCACCTAACTTCCCCGGTATATTAAACAGAATGAACTTACTATGTATGATATGATGAAATTTGAGGCATTTTCTGGACGTGAGATGATATGGCCGCATCAGCTCTCTGCAGCCCCGGAGGTTAGTCCTATAATTAACCAAAAAAAGTGTCGTAAAAACATAACCTATTATTTTGTGTGCCCTCATACAAAAAACAAGTTTGAAAACCACTGGTCTAGAGAATACATGTACCCTGTATTCTCTAGCTTAGTCTAATTAATTATATAATTTAATGTTCACATGCAGTCTACAAGGTCATGGCGGTAAACAACTATAATACAATGTGAGAGTTTGTATTAAGACGAGGTTTTGCTACCTCCACTCCCATTGATAAGCATTAACCAATTGCTGTAAAAATAAGCAAATGAAAACATACAGTATTTTTTGCTTTTCCGCGCGGCAGCTTATACCTCCCTTCAGCATTCAACTACAGTTCTTATCTAATGATAACTCGTTTAAAAACTTGTGAACGAAGAAAATAAAACTGACACTCCTTCAAAAGAAACTGTGTACAGTATTTTGTTGTTTCTTTGAAATATATAAAAGCTATTCTAAATTGTTCTGGGGTACGTTTAATTACGAACACTCGATAGGCTACATTGTGTTAAAAGATTCCTATTTTAACGTTGTAGCTGAAATTATTTAGGCTTACCCTTTGAACACGGCAAATGTAATGTTGGTATTGCTCCATTCTTAATCCCCACAAGAGTTCTTGATAATGGTAGTCCAAGCAGTTTATATTTCAAATTCTCAAATACACTGGCCTCAAAATTGGGCGCTGCACACATTAAGGCATTTTCAGCATTTATAAAGTCTTTCATCTTGCACAAGTGAATCCATCTTCTCAGTTCCTTATCCTTCGGAAAGTGATGGAAATTTATATCATCACTTAAACTCAACCAAAAACTACTTTCTTTAGTTGCAACGAGGTCCTCTAAGCACTTATCTATTTCATTTAATGGGGCTTATCAATCATGGAAGAAGCTTAAGTTATAATAATGCGAAGAAAACATAATTTCGTGGGTAAACATTGGTAGGACTATAATTTGTTTAGTTACCCATCATGAGCAGTTTTCTGTGTTTTTAATATTTTCCTCAATCAACAGATGGCACTGGACGTATTTATGTTCTGGAGAGTTGTTGTTGTTGATATATATATCTATCATCTGTCCACACAAATTTATTAAACCTGCAAAAAGTGAAATATCTTCAATGTCACGGCAAGAACCAATTGAATATCAATATATTCATCGGAGAGCTGGACATGTCATGGTGGCCTTTGACAATCGCTTATTCGTATGGGGTGGATATATGGTAAGGTTTATTAACTGATGCAAGTCTAATATAACTCTTGGGTCTATACTTAGTTACTATGTACACGTACCTAGGCAGAACTAGATTAATCATATCAGGTATTACAAAGTGGTGGATGTCAGTATTCTTTTCGTAGAGCTTTCTATATTTTGCCTTTATAGCCTTGAGTGATATTGAACATAATGTGATTTTAACTTTTTTTTGTTATAGAATCATTCACCATTAGGTTACATCCTAATGCAAAAATCAAGCAGACGTTAAAAAAAAAAAAAAACATTTGATTTGCTTGCAATAGTGTTGTCATCCCATACTAGACTCAGCTTAGCTTAGGTCAGGTTAGGTTACTCCGTTCCTTCTGCAGTTAGAGATAAAGATAAAAGTTATTGGAGGAATTGGCACTTAATTCCTATGATTTATTGCAGTTAGTTTTTGTATGTTTGTTTTATTAATAAAACATAAGTTCAGCAGGGAGAAGAATAAAATTGAACCTACAAAAGTACTGTTAATGAAAATGTACTTTAAAGCATCATGGTCTTGTCATCATTCCTCTGTCAGTTATACTCTGGGACGAAACCATTAATGACAGTTGACAGCTTGAATCAACATAAACTAACATACTGCTAATAATCTTAGATTATTTTTTGGGCAAAGGTGGTAATACTAAACACGAAAATGGAAACGACAGTGCACAGAACCTAACAAAACCTGACCTAACCAACCTAGCCTGCCTAACCTTACCTAACTTCGTAACCCGAGGGAGGGAGTGACATAATAAGCAGAAAGAACTTACTTTAATATCAGGTACCAATCAAGTTCAAAATTTATTAGTTTAAGAGTGAGCGACAGCACGCAGTGCCACGAGAGTATTTTCAGCGAAGTATTTATAGTAAAAAAATTATTTCCTTGCATCCAAACACAGAGACCTGAAATTACTGTACTGCCATTTGATAATTTTTTCTGCCTTTTTACACCATAATTTCCCTCGGCTTTCATGCCCTGCCCATTACAGTATAGTAGATAGAAGGAAACGAGAATTAAAAAAAAATTAATTAAATGAAAAAAGTAGCTGATCGTTTTTATTGCTACTTACTATCACCAAAGAACACATGTGGAAATATAAATATTTCTATAGACTCCTTCAGGTGCTAACCATCTTCTCCAATACAGTACAGTATTACCACTTTTTGGTTCAACATGAATTGATATGGTTAATTTTTTTTTTTTAATTTGTCCTCATAAATCATTTAACCTCACAATCTTCTTGAGAGGTTGTTGTCGACAAGATCATGGTGGTTTTAGAGCCTCAATCAATGCTATTTTTTGTAAGTTCATAGTATACTTGCTTTCTGCTTTCCCTGGAACTGTACTGTACAGTATTTGCTACACTCATGGGTGCTCCAGGCATTTAAGATGAATTTACGATTTTACCACCAAACATATTCAAATATACTGGGGGTTCCCAGGTTACAAACGGGTTCCGTTCCTGAAGACGTTCTAAAGTCGGATTTGTACGTAAGTTGGAACACATGCTATGTGCATACCACACTTACAGAACAATGTTTGAAATCCCACTATATTGTGGAAGTCCTTATATTCATCTAAAATCACTGAATTTCAGACTAAAGAAGAAATATAATGACAAAATACAGTAAATGAAAGTAAAAAATAAGTCATCAGGTAAATAAAATACAGAACTATAAATTTCAAGTTTAACCCCGTTTGTATTGCCCTGGCGTTTGTAAGTTGGGGACCCCCTGTACTGTACTATACAAGGCATGTTCACTAATATTAAATCTTTAGAACAAAAACGACACCTCAACTGATTTGCTTATTTTTTGATCTTTCATCTTTCAGGAGCTGCCTCACTCGGAACCTTATACCCTTATGACACCAAGCAAGTGCTTATACCACCGTGCCATAGATGTTTTCATGTATGATCCTATGCTCAAAACATGGTATGTAAACTTCCTTGCTTCATTTTTTTTAAAACAGCATCATATTTCTTCCTGTAGTAAATACTTGGTATACAGTATTACAAGATGCTTTGTGCATAGATTGTATTCAGTTTTCACAGTTAAAGGACAATCTGCAATATGGTTATGAAAATGTGATAGGAAATTAATTTCTATTTTATATATTTAACTTGTACTGTACTGCAGATACACTTCTGTTCATAATGATCGTTTTTGACACTGTGTTATACTAATTGCAAACCTTCTTACCTGTAACAAATGGGTTCTCTAATCAATTGATTAACCCAAGACAATGGTTTCATATATCAAACAGGTTTACCAAGTTTATCATTGTTATACACTGAAAGTGATTGGAATGAATCCTAATGGGCTAACTCAGGCACACTGAGCACTAATGAGTGTTGTCAATTTACAGTACTGTACAGGTATTAACCTAATGGAGGGTCATTTCACCTGTAGTGAATAGGTTTAACCTTGGTGACCAAAGATATTGTATGTTATTTTATTATAAATGTACATTATGCATAAATACTGTACTTTGAATTTAGATATTAATTTTTACAGCTTTGAGGTAACTGTAATTGTTAAAGCTGTGAATATCCAATGCCTTTAATAATAATAATAATAATAATTAACGGTTTATTGAAAGAGCTTGGCAGCCAGAAGGCTGAAAATATACAGTTACATATTTGGGGAAATGGTTTCGAATTACAAATAATATACAAGTAACATAAGTGACACAAATAAGACATAACTAGATGGGGAAAAGCTCAAACTACAGTTTATTTCAACATAGTGACAGTGCAAGGGTAGTGTTTACTGGGAGTAACACTGGTTTATTACAAGTTATTGATATTTTACAATGGTTGGGACTGGGCTGTTCTTATAGCCACTGTCTGTGCAGGCTGGATGGGTTGTGGTGTCGAACAGCATCTCGGACTAGGGATCTCAGGTGGTAGTAGGAGCCGGTGTTCAGGATGGTGTAGAAGCTTACCAAATTTGCAGATGAGGTCGTGGTGATGGTCAGTGAGAGTCGAAAGGGTCAGTGTGTTGGCGCTTGATATGTGGAGTAGGAAGGAGAGAATAATCTTGCATGCCCTCTTTTGCACTTTTTCTAGGTGTTTACGTGTGTGGCATTTAGGAGGAAGACCAGGTGGGGAGGCATAGGTGAGCTTAGGAAGTATGAATGTTGTGTAAACACTGAGGAGCTCGGGTGCAGGAACCCGAGGGACTTGAGTCGGCGGAGGAGGTGGAGACGAAACTGGAGGATTTGACAACTTCACTGACGTGTGGTTTCCAATTTAGTTTGTTGTCTGGAGGACGCCGAGGAGCGTGGAATCTACAACCTGAGTGTGTTCGGACCTAGAGTAATGGAAGGAGGTGGGACAATGTCGGAGGAGAGGTTGATGTGCATAACCATGGTCTTGGTATGGTTGATGGTGACATGGTTGTTGGTGGCCCAGTTTTGGAGACTGTTCAATAAATCCTGAAGGGCTGTATAGTTGCCTTTTTAACTAAAACATGTGCATGTGGGGGGTTTTAGGCCATTATGTCACCTTTTTTGTATAAACCTTTAAGTAACTTAACCTAACCTAAGCAAGGCTTCATTGCCTCTTAAATAGAGACATTATTTTCTAAATTTAATAAATATAACTTGATATTCAGTAGACCAGTGACAAGTTGTTCAGTGACGAAATGTCTGCCCACCATATGGGGACAAGGATTGGGTGGTCTGGTGGGATTATTGGGCATACTACCCAGGGCACCATCTTTTCAATGAAACCTAGCATGACAATCTATTTTCTCATGTAAGGAGACCAATTAAATGCACTACTGTACAGTAACTGAATGCAGTACAGGCAATCCCCAGGTTATGAGTTAGTTCCTTTCCTGGGGACGTTGTTAAGTCGAAAATGTAAATACGTAAGTTGAAACACATGCTTTATATACATCTAAAATCATTTAATTAAAGAGAAAAGAAGAAATAGAATGACAAAATACGTTAAAAGAAGTTGAAAAATAAGTCCAGGTAAATAAAATACAGTGAACCCTCGAAGATCTGGACTAAAAGGGGTGACCACCTGTTCAAAAAAGCTGATTGTCCGACTTCCGGTGAATGTAAAAAAATGTATAAAAACGACAAATAATGATATAAAAAACACCAAAAATAAATATCGCATTTTTTGGCAGATGAAACGCACCCCCATTTTAGCAGGGAGTATTTAGGAAGAAATTTTTGTGTGTAATTTCCTCCTGTAGGCTTAGTTTTTTTTAAATAATGTATACAGTACCAGTAAATGTGAGGAATAAATAAAAATAATACTAATAAATAAGTTTAAAAAAATACTGTATTGCCAATACAGTAAATAAAAGCCAAATGACAGCTTAACATAGTCGCCATTTGCATATATGTACTGTACTCCTTGGTTCACCATAGTAACGAAGACCAGCTGGGACGCCAATTCCCTTGTAATGCTCCCCACCCGCTTCACTCTGCGCTCTCCTCCCGTTACGTGTTTGCCCTTAGGACAATTATTTCTTTTACTTTTTTCACTAGGTATTTATGGTGTGGGCATGTAACTGAGTAAAAATATATGAAGAAAGTTACGTATACCTGTATCTACCTGGAAATGCGAGTTGAAAAACCATAACACCTCACAGCTTGACCCAGTAGCCTGGTGGTTTTAGTGACCAGTCTAACCTGGCTAAAATGTCATGATTAATCACTTTAAAACACTATTATATCAGTAAACACTAATAATAACATTAAATCCAGTGAAGTATGGCAGGGACTTACTCGACTCACTCACTCCCCTTACTCGCACCTGTTGCCAGGTGTTTGATCAAAATAGGTAAGGGAGAAATACATATCTTGTAGTTTAATTTGAAAACAGTGATGGGCACAGTGATAAACAAATTATACAAACCATTCATTTACCTACGATAACATAATAAGAAACATTGTATCATTACTAGAGAGAATTAAATAATATTCCCACAAACAACAATTAACAACTGTTTATGTTGTTCACCTCCTCGGGCACCTGTGTCCAGCGTGACCGACCAGTCAACCAGCGCCCGTGGACTTAAAATGTTCTTTGCTCCGTTTTGGAAATGCTTTTTAGGGAGGCTTTTTAGCTCAGAATCCCCAAATTTTGTGTCTGAATCTTCCGAAATCCGGATTTGTTGGGTCCAGATCTTCAAGGGTTCTCTGTACTGTAAATTTAAAGTTTAACCTTGTTCGTATCAACGGATGTTCGTAAGTCGGACGTTCTTGACCAGGGAACTGCCTGTACAGTATATGAATATATCTATCAATCAATCATTTATGTTTTCATATACAGTATTATTCTGTAGTATATAGTGTACTGTATATATACACAGACAAACCAACACAAATATATATGAATATATCAAATTGTCCATATATCTTCAGGACTCGCAGAATGAGCAATGGGCGCATTCCAATGCAGCTTTCGGGATCTTGTGCTGCTGTTCACCACCAACACATGTATCTCTTTGGAGGTATTGTCCATCATGTTGTGTTTCAAAGTTGAATTTATCTGTAAATTTCATCAAAATTAAAAGATAATCTGTTGAGTGTTCATGTTTTTGATGAATGGCATGGATTGATTCTAGGATGATTATATGAAAACTTGACTCTGAAGTATTAAATAAATGTTTGGAAAATATAGGAAAATTGTGTAATGTTCGGTAATGTAGAAAAGTTATGTTTCCATTCTGTGATTGTTTATGGTTCGTAGATTCTGCATACCTATACAGTATATGGTGGACTTGAGGCTCATTCTGTACTGTATATGCCAAGGCTTACCTCCACCATTTTAAATCCAGGACTAACACACTAGTCATATGTCAGTTCCCAGCTGAGAGTTACAGAGAGCGGAGCATATGTCCAGCTCACCCTTGACTGCTTGTGCAAAGAGCTAAGTTCCAAAACCCATATTAATAAAAGTATATAAGGGACAATAAATAGGAAATACCCTGTACAGCAGATTTAGGTGTTATTGTGTATTATTACAAAAATTGGCTACTGTAGTTATCAATTGTTACAGGAGATTAATTTACATTTTATTCCAGCCCTCTTGAGTCTAAGTTAACCCAATAACTGTGCCATTAGGGAAATCAAGGGTAAGACACAGAAAAAAAGCAAATTAAAGGTTTTTTATAATGAAATTGAAGATATTAAACTTAGAAGCTATAAAAACTGAATAAAAAGTTTGTACTGTACTCACAATGGGTGGTGAGTTATGAATCTTTGAAATGAGGTGGATACAGTGTAGTAACTGGCAACTACTGAGCCCTGGTTGTTGTTGTGATACAAGAGGTGGTGTTTGTGACAAACGACAAGGTTGTGGTGGTGCAGCCCTTTCATAGGTGGCGAGCCAGGCTGTGTCATCATAGGTGTGGGGGAGGGGCCACTGACAGGATGAGGGGGGAGGAGGTTGTTGAGGTGTAAATATTTTTAAATCATTGCAAAATGATGACATTAATTTGTTTTGAGGCTTCTCTAGCCTTGTGTCTCACTCTGCAGTGTCTACCATTCATCGACTTTGCATTCATTGTATTATTTTTGGTGCCCAGCTTTATACTCATGGTGCCAAATGTCAATTGTCTTAAGACAACGATAGTGCGATTTCAGTAAATCAGCTGAAGACGATGGTAGCTAACCTCAGGTTTTGTCATATACCTCAGTACTGTACATAACTGGGGCCTGCAGCCCCTCAAAAAAAAATTAATAAAAATAGTGTGAAGGGGGTTCTCTTGGAAGGGAAAATGGTTTTGAAAACTAATTGATAAATAATTTTAGAATAAGAAAGGATAAATAGAATTAAGTAAAGATTGTCTTTTAATGTAGTGTACGCTGTTTTGAAGTGATATGATCTTGTGAAAGACTACAGTATTTTTTTTTTTGTGAGCACTGAATGTATAGGAGAGAGAAAAGAACAGAGTGATAAAGTAATATTGCTGAGAGGTGTGTTCAGTTAATTATGTGAGGTGATTTGCCTGCATTAAACTATCTAAAAAGATGGATGAACAGTTTGCTTTAGATTGTACACAGCACTGAGTATGGATTGAATGAATAAAGAAATATCTAAATTTTTTTCTGGTAGGTTGGACAAGCAATACTTCAGATAAGTATGAAAATAGTTCCAATTCACTGTGGCGACTACACCTACCATCACTGACTTGGGAACTGCTCTTTCCTGATGGTATTCCACCTTTTCCATGTGACAAGGCTGCTTGCTGGGTTAACAAAAATAGGTAATTGAAATCAAACATATACAGTATCAGCTTCATTTATCTAACTTTCATGTTCATATTTTATATTCACAATTTGATAGTTAAGGATAATTTGGTACCTGTATTTAAATTTTATTGTACTGAAGTGAAAATATAAAATAACCTGTACCTCAACTACTACTGTATGTACAGGTAATTTTGAAATAAAGAGAATGCCAAATATCACATTCTTATCAGAAATTAGAATAATATTTACTGTACATTGTTACTCTTATTTCCAGGTTCTACATATTTGGAGGTTTTGGTCCATACAAAGAAATGTATAAAATGCCTGGTATCACTGTTAAGTTCGTGGCTGACGATGTATTTCCTAGTGGCTGGACAGACCAACTGGTATATTATGACATAGGTAAGTTATTATTTGACTGAAACCCTGTGATGTTTTGCTCCTTTTTACAATCAAATACAATACTGTATACAGTAAACAGGTCAGATTAATTTGGGGAGACACCATGAACTTTTTTCTTAAACTCATAATTTTCATGTTAGATAAAATTTACTGTCTTACTCCTTTGTCAATAACACTGTGTAACAAATTTTAAGTTTTAAAAATATACTTGCACCATTTAATGTCAGATTCACTAAATCAACTATGCTCATTAGTAAAATGAAAACCATTTTTTCATAGCACATCACATTTTATTGAAATTTGATTGAATTTAATTTTATAGAGTAAATTCAAGGCTTCATTTGCATATGTGCTTACAAGACTTTGAATACAATTAATGTGAAAGAAGAGAAGACACAAGACTTATGACTACAAACACTCCCGGGTCACAGATACGTTCTGTTCCTGTAGGCTATCTGTAACCTGAATTACCAGTAAACTGGAAAGTGACCCTCCCATAGGTAATCATTGAACACACATATAGGGTAGTACACATATTGTATATAGTACTGTACAATTACTATACTGTACAGGTATGGAACCATTTATCCAGAATGTTTGGGACCTGGCATTTGCCAGATAGGTATTTTTCCGGAATTTGGAGCACCAGGCCAATATTATATCGTAAACCCTCTGTAATTAGCTGTGATGACTGTTCAGATCACTAGATTCGCCCCTAAAAGTAGCTATAACTCTACACTGTAACACTAAAACTTAAAATTGTAGGCATATCAATAACATAAGCATATAAAAGCATTAATAAGAGCATAAAGAGAGCACAAATTATAGAAGTTAGCGTTCAAACTGCATCACAGTCGCCCCTGGTGCTCGCCTAGCGATGCAGCAGCGTTCCTAGCAACAGTACTGTGCCATGGACCCTCTGATCTCCACACACACACACACTCGCCACACAGCTTTATGGTGGAGGCCTGTAGATACGTAAAACTTTATACCATATGGTAATTATTTATTTAATATATTTTTACACTTTCCATATGCAGGATTGTGTGGATGTAACTGAGTAAAAAATTTTTTTTACTATACCCCTGGTATATCTAACCGATATTATGAGCTAAAAATACAGCACTCTACCCACCAAAAAACATCTGCCCATTAGTTCCCTAATTTATCATTGTTATAACAATGTTTGTTGTTTTATTACACGAGTGACAGTCAAAATGGAATTACAGTTTAGTACTGTACAGTACTGTATTTATGCTTTTATACAAATACCCCTAGGCATACAGAGAAATGTGAGTTACTGACATACAGTATTCACTTTTCCCCTCTACTTTATGGTGTAATGAAGACTACCAATAGGACACATGATCAAAGACCTTTGTTCAGAATATTTCGTTTGTTGTTTCATATTGTATGACACCATAAGTGTAAAGGTAGTTCTTGTGTTGTGTATTATTTTTTCACATATGTATATTAATTTTTCTCTAAGATAATCAGGTGTTATGGGAAATCATCATAAACCTTTTGCTTAATAATAGAGGTTATGTAACTTCCATCTCATGATCATGTCTACTTTCAGAAACTAATATGTGGGTGTGGCCAGAAACACATGGACCAAAACCATCACCTCGAGCAGCACACACAGCAGATGTCACAGGAGACAAAGTGTATATTTTTGGCGGACGTTTTAAAGATGTTAGAATGAATGATTTACATTGCTTGGATCTTAACAGTATGAGATGGAGTGGCAAGTAAGTTACTGTACACTCTTACATCTACCATACAGATTTGACCCTTACTTGGGACTTAATATTTTCACCAATTTGCTCTAAATCAAAATACTGTAGTAGTTTCCTGGCTTACATACAACCGATTTGCAAAATTTCACCAACATTAGTAGTCATTTTGTATCTACGTATATTAAGATATGTGTGCTTTTTTAAATCTCTGCTCCAAAGTCTTTTCCCTGACCTTGCTGAAACAAAATACTGTAAGAATAATTATGTAGACCATGACAGTAGGTATCTGAAAGGCTTCAAAAGAAAACAACAACAGAATAGAAGCAAATTTAGACATTACTCTTTATGGAGGCAAGCAAGGCACAGGAGTATCATGTATACCAGTACACACACACACACACACACACACACACACACACACAATATAGATAGATAGATAGATAGATATATGTACTGTATATCTTTTGTATATTTTCAACTTTTGGCTGTCTTATTTTCAGTAAACCATTAATTTTATTGTACAGTAATCATCATTATTGTTATTATGTAGGGCAAGTGGCCATGGGACAAGTTTCAGTGGTGCAGAGGGGTAGATCAAGCTTGGGAATTAGGACAAGACACAATGAAAATGACCTTATTGATCTTGTGAAATAACCAGGTATCTGATAACCAGCTTTCAAATCCGTGCCTAAAGGAATCCAAGATGTTCAACCACTGAGAATATAGAAGCTTATTGAGAACAGATACTTGTAGATTGGTGACTTCCAAGGTAGGATCGTTTGTGAGAGTTTATGACAGTGAAAGGAGTGCTCTGGTTGAGTGGATACAGCGCTCACCTCCTGTTCCATGGGTCGGTGGTTTGGTACCCGGGTACTCCCAGTTAACCCAGCTGTAAAGGGTACCTAATTTTACAACTTGGGAAAGTGAATGCCATCAATTGCAATCTCAGCCATGCTGCCTCCTTGTGAACTGAAGGCTTAGTATACAGTGTGCTTTATCCACACTGTCCTTAATGGGCTGTCTTCTTTATGAGACCCACTTTCACTTTTCATGTCAGGGAACATTCCTGAAGTTTCATGCCAGACAACTAACTCCCTCCCCAGGGAACCAAAATTTTCTTTCATTTACCTCAAGCCAGATCCTTTATTAATCCTACAATTATATTATGAAAAGTGAGTTCACCCATGTTGTGTACTCTCCAGGGCGAGTTTTGCATGTTTTTCTTATTTATATTTTATATTTTTTGGGGTCATTTAATTAGCGAATATTTTTCAAATAATGTAATCCTGAGGTTCTCCAATATGCAAGGTTCTGATATACACTATATTGTTTTATTATTTTCCAGTTTGACGGAGAGTGCAATTCAAGAAACTCCCGAGGGTCGATCCTGGCACACATTTAATTTTGTATCAAGAAATAAGGCTGTTATTTATGGTGGTTTCAATACAACACAACAAGTTTTAAGTAAGTTTATGTTGAAATTTTTTTAATTATCCTCTTAAAAATTCTGCTGCTCTAAATTAATATCAAATCATATACTGTACCTGTAATCAGAGGTTTTACAACAATAAAAACTGGACTGGTTGACTCCTGTATTGCTGTTACCAAGTCTTCTGTGGTTAAACCTCTAGAAACCCTTTGAGATTATCGGATGGGGACTTTTCAAATCTAAGTACAATACACCTTATAAATATAATCAGAACTGTATAATAGGGCTTTTGGAAATATATGTTACCATTTAAATTAAAAGAGTAGACAATTCATGATGTATCAGCAGTGCACACCTTGTCTGTCAGTTATTCATTATAACCTGTGATGACAGAACCAACTTGTAACTCATACCAAGCCACCTTCTCTCTGGGTGCAGATGCTTTTGTCTCGGCAACTCCAGGTGCCCACTAGGAGTAGATAAGTGCTATTAACTTAATTTTTTTGGTATATTTTAGAAGATTGGTTTTACATTGAGCCAAGGTAAGACATTTATTGCCTTCATATTACAAGAGTTGCTGTGGTTAATTACCCAATTCAAATATTCACCAGCAATTCAATACTGTATACATGTATGGAACTTACTTGATTCATGTTGTGTACTTGTGATACAGTGGATCCAGTTTTACAGTAACTTAACCTGTCTGGTAAGGATAGATTTAAATAGATCAGATATCTGGGCCATTCATAAATGGCTAGGTCCAAAAAGGGAATAAGAAAATAGGGATATTGGGTTTTTGAAAGGTTATGAGGACTTTTGTAGTCATTTGTTTTTGTTTTGGGATAGATAAGGGGAAATTTGTTACTTTAAGTTCTCTGCGAACTTCAAATAATTTTTAGGCAGAGACAACAAAAAGAATGCCAAGTTACTGGTTTGCTGTTTTACAATCTAGTGAATCATTCTAGCAAATGTGAGGAAGTGAAACAATTCTCCAAAAATAAACACCATTGAGGAGCTGAAAAGATATTTATCAAAGGTAACTTTTCCTCACAAGTGCAGGTTAGTGGCCTCCTATGATCCTCCCCACTATGACTGGCTTCAGCCACTTCCCCTCCCTCCAAAAGCCTGTGGTTAATGTGAGTGGCCACAGATCATGAGTGTCACATGGGAGGGGGATGAGAGTACAATATATGGGTACTTGAAATATATCACCTTTTTTTCTGCTTTGTGCTAAGGCCTACAATTTGGAATGTTGATGTGAGCTTTAGGTACTGTTATATGCAGTGTGTGACCAACTGCAAGGCTGGTGGCATATGCAGCTCATTTCATAGCACATGTGAGGATAATGTATTCATGGTGTTTCGAGTACTGTATTCAAAGCTGTTAACTGTAACTGAAGACAATTGGGGGACTTAGCTGCCCTCTCTTTTCTAAGAGTATGTTATAAAGTTGACTTGCATTGAGTTAGTATTGGTACTGGTATCACAGGCTATAAATGACAAATGATGGGTAAGGTTTGTACTGTTAATGTGATGTTATGACTCAGAGTCTTCTGCTTTATATGGCAGCATCTATTTCTATAATGTTTTGTAAGAGTTCTGGTTATATTTGGAAAATGCACCAAATCCTGGATTACTCCTTATCACTAACATTGAAGGGATTCCTGGTTTTTAACCCCACAAACTTAGTAACAGTGATATATGGGTCTCCAAGTCCAGTATATACTGTATATATATATATATATATATATATATATATATATATATATATATATATATATATATATATATATATATATATATATATATATATATATATATATATATATATATATTATCAGATTTCATGAATTGCTCTATTTATTTGTAACTACAGTAAGTATGAGCTTATGAAACACATCATACTGTTTCATTTAATTTATTTTATGTCATACTATCATCTGCTCTTTTCTATGACTACTGTACTTTCATTACAACTAAAATGACTGATATAAATTGCATGTTCCTGTATTCTTATAGTGATACAACAATATATTCCTTGTTTTTCTTATGAAATTGTATAATACAGAATGGGAATAGACATCACACCTGCTATATGTAATACAATAAAATAAAATAAAATTATTCGTCATACAGTACTAATTCATTGTTCTTTCTGTAGGCCTTTAACTGGAAAATCATAAAGTATCAGTTACTTTTAGATGTGGAACTGTAGGCCAGTTATTTTTACTAATTACAAAAGAAGAATTTATGCTCTATTCTCACCTGTGTAGTGCTTGTGTGATGCTACTTCTTATGATAATATTGTTCTCTATATTGCACTGTACCAGGCACCCTTTAGTAATTTAAAAGAATCAAAGTGAGCTTTAATAATGCTCTGTTCTTGTTTCTACATCTACCTAACCTTCGGAGTGAATATGTATTTTACTGCATGTGTGTACATGTACATAAATATTAATTAAATGACCAACTATTGATGTGTATATTTACATCAACTGTAATAAAACTATAATACCATACAGAAGGTTGTACTTACCAATGAAAAATGGTGCTGAGCCTTCAGTGGTGATCACAAGTTTTTACTGTATGAGTTACTGTACAGTACATTACGTGCTTTTTCCCGACAGAGCCTTTATTGTTGATTTGATCACTAATCAATCTTTTCATTACGAGGAAACCTTTACACATGCACAAATCTCCATACTGGTACCAATAGTACATATGATCATCTCAATTACACTGTACAGTAATAGGAAGTGAGGGATGCTGGAGGTTTACCCTCATGTATCCAAAATCACTACTTTCTCAGCTTATGTCATTACTGTTTATGGTTTCTTCACTGCACCACCATTAACACACTGTTTATGATTAAATGGCATCGTGTAGTTAAGGGTACACTGCAAAGACAATGTTTGAGCCATTATGTCTGATAACCCTGGATTAAGCACCTAAATCTGGTACTTTACTTAGAGACGTTAAAATTTTGATTGGGGCAGATAATGGAAAAGTACCGTTATTTTGTTTGTTTTCCCTCGGGAGAAGGTGGCCCTCATATTTCTTAAAATCTCATAATTTGTGAGGGCTAGAGTCAATATTGTTTTGAATTTTTTTTTATACTGTATTAAGACCACCCCCCCTATCTATGAAGTAAACAATTCATATAAATGATGGTCATTGTCTGGCCAGATCACTTTACAGTCACAGAAAAAAAGCAAAAATCACTCCACAGTCATCCAAACAGAGTACAATGTGAACATTAGTGATGTCCTCTCACTGTAAGGTAAAAAAAACAACCCACCAATGATAAATGCTGTAACGACACCGATACTGACCGATAATTGTTGAATCTCATGATCCCAACTGTAGACCATAGCTTGGTGGCACTCATGTTGACAACAACAAACATGGTCATTTTACTTGTTTGATAAGAGACTGACCACCATATGCCGGGCAGTGGGTTGCCAGCTGAGTGATGGGAGTGCGCATTCACACACACACACACACCCCCCTCCTTAACACACACCCTCACACACACCCTCCCTCACACACATACCTCAACCCATCCCTACTTTACATCCCCCTCCCTCACACCCACCCTCACTCACCCCTACCTCATACACACCCCCTACTTCATGCACATCCCCTCCTTCACCCACCCCCTCTGATCCTGTGTTTGGTGACCATATCATCCACTCTGAGCAAATGGATTAAAAGCTTAGATGCATTTTAGCCTCTCCTCTTCTCTCTTCTTTTCTCATTTCTCTCTTCTTTCTTCTTTGTCTTCCTTTCATCTTTATCATCTTTCTTTTCTTCCTTTCTTCTTGTCTTCTCTCTCTCTCTCTTTCCCTCATACAATACTTGTTCTTCCTCATTGACCTAAGTTTTATCCTTATATAAAAAGATACTGAACTAAATTTAAACATTGTTGAGAGCTTATTAGATCTTGGTACAATTTCTGGTGCAGAGGACATCTGGGTGCTAGATGTTACAAATGGAAAATGGCAGAAGTCACCCAATGAGCATGCCGGGCCTGTACTCTGGCACACTTCAGCAGTGGCATACCCAGGAGAAGTGACCTTTTATGGTGGAATTAAGAATAACCTTTTGGATTATTCACAGCCAAAGGTATGTCCTATTCTTGTCCTACATTATATCAAGAAAATGAGATGTAAGATACTACAGTACTAATCATTTTTCCAGACTTTTCCTTCTCAGTCCTTGGAGCTTCAACTTTGTACTAACAATAGAATGGTGCTTTTACTAAATGCATGACACTCATTTATAGTTATGGAAAAGAGCAGAACCATTAAGGTCATAAATTGAACCTTTTGATTACGGTAATACAAGAAATTTGTTACCAGAAAATTCTTTTAGTGTCGGTTTCTTGGTACTGTACAGTACTGGTACAGTATTTTGTCTTTTTCAAGGCATTCAGAAATTTGGAAGAAAAAATGGCTAAGTATTATAATTTGAAATATTGATAAAATCACACGGGAAAAGGGAAACAACGGAGCACCTTAGCTTTCGTCTTTAGTCAAGACATCTTCAGAGGCAACTGAAAGCTAAGGTGCTCCTTTGTTCCCTTTTCTCGTGTGATTTTATCAAGATTTATCTTATCCACGTTTTCATTGTGGATCTACATGAAATTTGAAGTATGTTGATAGAGATTTTATGACCAAATGCTCTCCATTGATTGACTGCTGACTTCTGTATTACCCACTGCTGATTAGAAACACAGATAAGCCTTTAACAATAATGGCTGGTATTTATCCATTAATAAGTAATAAAAGTATCATTCAATATAGTAAAGAAATGGGTTAGGTTCCTTGAAAACCATTTCAAGTGAATATTTGTGAAGTGAATAACATATATGGGAAATATTAGCTTCAATCCATTTAGTTTCCATCCATTACTTCAAGTAAGCAATTTTCTCCTTTCATACTATATCTTCTGAAAGAAGCTACTTATAAGTGCATTTTGTATCACTTTTATAGTACAGTACTTGAAGAATTATAGGTAGAATTCACAGTCCTCTGTATTAATAATGTTACAAAAAGGAGAAATTTATTTCTGTTGACAGCAAGATGGCCTTCCCTCCATGTGAAAGGAAAGATTTATGCCACTGGCTTGATAAGAGTGATGCTGTATAGCAGTGAAACATGGTTAGTTAAAGGGGATGACATACGAGTATACTGGCTTGAGTGAGCTGAAATGAGAATGGTGAGATGGATGTGCAATGTGACACTGAAAGATAGGAATCCTTGTTGAAAGCTAAGAGTGTGCCAAGGTATTGAGTGAATTGTCTTGCATGAGGTAGGCAGGAGATGGTTGGACAAGTGGAGAGAATGGATGAGACCATTTGGGTCAAGAGATGCAGGAGTCCTGATGTAGAGGGGATGAGATCTAGGAGTAGGCTAAGAAATGACAAAAGGAGAGACTTTAAGAACCAATGTTTGAGTGAAGAAGCTGTTGAGAGAGGCTGCAAGACACTGCACAGGATTATTGAGAGCTACCATCAGGTAATTGAGCTCACCCACGCAAACAAGGAAAATGGCCATAAAACTTTGATGCTGGTGATTTACAGGGCTGCCTCACTTATTGCAAAGGTTACGGGCATGAAACTCGTTGCAAATATCGAAATTGTGAATAGCGGAGCAATTTCTACCATAAGAAATAATGTAAATAGGGGGGATACTGGTGGTCACGGCCGTCTGATTTTAACGCTTGTTTTACTCAATACGTTTAGAACATAAAATAAATGGAGTTACAAGGGCATAATATCAAATAAACATCAATGACAAACACTTTGAGTTTATTAGGCATATACAGTATGTTTACAAGTACAGTATACTTTACGTGTGTGAGTGTTTGAATGTTTATGTGCGTAGGTGTGTGAGGTAAGTTTTAAACGTAGACTGTTAATTTACCTCTGATGTACTGTGTTGTTTGCTTGCTGAAGTTGGCATTAGGGGAGAGGGTGAAGGTTTACTGGGGTGAGAGGAGGCTGGGGTCGTCAGCCACCTCACTCTCCTCACTGTGTTTTAAGGTGCTGGGTCTGGTCGTCAATCCATGTACTCAACATCCGTTCCATACTCTCCATCTCAGCATCACGGAACCTCATCACCTTCGTAGCAGTCAGTGGTATTGCAGTCCCGGCCATCTTCTTGATCTCGTCGGCGCTTTTAACTATAGAATGCACCATAGAGGGAGCCAAGCCGTGCACATGCCCAATCACCGACGTTCCTTCTCCGTGTTCATGTCTTTTTACGATATCCAATTTCACGTCCACCGTAACTGCCACACCAGATCTCTTAGCGACATTGCTGGGAGTTTTAGTAGCTGGTCGCTTAGGCATTGCGAGGTCACACAAAACACAAGCCAGCACGTGTGAGACTGAGGCGAGCGGGAACGTATGGAGGAGGAATACGTACACGCTCTTCTACGCTATGGTTGAGGCGTGCGATTCAAAATTTTTGGTCGTAAGAATTTGTGAATAAACGGGGCAACCATTGCAAATAGTGGAAATGGGTAACAATTAATTGATTGCGGATAAACGGGGTTACGAATACCGAGGCTATGAATAACGGGGTTTGCCTGTATTCATGTTGGAAATGTGTTGAAGAACCCCTAGTAGGTTACCTAGTATTACAAGAGCTACCTAGCTTTGGGCTACGCCTTTAACCTCTTCACTACAGGCACCGCTTTTAATATTTTGTTTGGCCAAAGTCAAATTATTTTATTCAGCTCAGAGAGGACACCGTACACAAGGGGTTAGTAGACTATGTCCACTAACCCCTTCACTATGGGGACACCACTTTTAGTATTTAATTTAGCTTAAACCAGATGATTTTATTCAGCTCAGAGGTGGTACCGTACACAAAGTGAATCTTGCATTTTTCCTTTTTTTTTCCTTTTTTTATCTAGCTAACATAGACCAAAAAAATGGAGGAAACTGCAGCGGGCCTATTGGCCCATACTGGGCAGTCCCTTTTACACCCAACCCCTATTGCTCATATATCCATCCAACCTATGTTTGAAGCTATCCGGCGTATTCAAGTTAATGATGATGTTTGGTAACTTGTTCCACTCATCCACTACTTTATTTCCAAACCAGTGTTTACCTATCTCGCACCTAAATCTAAATTTGTCTAATTTAAAACCATTGCTATGAGTTTGCTCCGGGTTGGATAGTTTGAGTACCTTTGTTATATCACTTTTGTTTAGCCCTGACTTCCATTTATACATCTTGATCATATCATCCCTCACTCTACGTCTCTCGAGGGAATGCAAATTAAGATTCTTTAACCTGTCTCTATACTCAAGGCTCCTAATGCCCGGGATTAGTCTTGTCATTCTCCTCTGAATTCTTTCAAGGGATTCTACATCCATTCTGTAGTATGGTGACCAGAACTGAACTGCGTAATCCAAGTGAAATCTCACAAGCGCAAGAAATAGTTTTAGGATAACCTCGCTAGTCTTGTAACTAACGCTTCTTTTTTTGAATTCAAGTACTTTGTTAGCCTTGTTTTGAGCAAATACACATTGTTGATTTGGTTTAAGATTCCTACTTATCATTACTCCTAAATCTTTCTCACAGTTTGATTTCTCTATAACATCGTTGTTCATCTGATATCTGGTTTCTCTGTTTACATCTCTTAGACTAAGTACCTTTACATCTCCTATATACTGTAGGACGTTAGGCTGCATTTTTTTAACAAATGAAAAATGATGGGAGAAATTAGAATCGGGCAACTTAGGTACTCTTCCTCCTTACTTTAATTGAAAATATTGACACCTTGAATTTCAGAATTGGTACTACAGCTGGTATTGTAGATGATGTGCACATACACAAGTGTAATATCAAACTCGTGTAGCCTCCTTCATTCATTAAGTGGTAATGTTTGCTTCTCATGCCACTTTTTAAGAGATATGATCACAATGAGGAGGTATTACTTATTAATGGATTTGTACCAGCCTCTAATGTCAAAGGTTCTCTAGAGTTTCTAACACCTAAACATAGTGGGGAAAATGTGAGTTGTATAGTTACAGTCTCGGCCGTAAAATGGGATTTCAGAATCGGTTCTTCATTTTTTTTAGGATATTTATCTCACTTGAAACAGTTCAGTGGACTTTCCCTGAAATTAATTAATTTTCTAAAGAAACTCAGACTTAAAGATACTGTACCTTAACATCAGAGTTGTAAAGTAACTAAGTAAATTTACTGGAGTACTGTGCTCAAGTAATATTTTTTGGTATTTACTTTTTAAAAAGTACTCAAATTTTTAGTACTTTTACTTAAGTATGGTTTTCTAATACTTTTACTTGAATACAATTGAAAGAACAAAAATCATTACTCGTTACCTGTAAACGAATAATGTATTTTTTAATTAATGAATTAATTAATTATTAACCAGAGTAAAAGAGCTCTGTGGGTGGTGGGTACGGTATGGATGGAGGGAGGGTATGGTGTGGGTGGAGCCGTGGGTGTGGGTAACACCACGCGGTCACATACCTACATGTCTCGTGAGGTGAGGTGACATCAGGTCAGGTCAGGTGGCAGTGGCCATGACAGCGGACGTTTCCTTTGATCTTCTTGTGTGCATTAGCACCTTGACCACCCACCTCACCTAGCCTACTCTCTTATCCCCCTCCCCCCATCGAATCCCCTCTCTTCCCCCCACCTTTCCTTCTGGGGGTTGGTCTTCCTGTTAGACATCAGTTGCTCTTTGCAAATACAGTACCTGTACCTAAAATGAATTTCAAAGAGGTTGTGATTCTACAATGCTTTATATAATTCTGTCTTTGATATAAAGCCTGCTTAAATAGCTATGTACCAATGCCCCCCCCCTCTCCCAGCACCCGTCAGATGTTACCTGTTGCAACAAATTCAGCCACTCATCAATTAGAATCGAAAAGTGACGCCGCCACAGTCCAATTAGAAGGATTGTTCATGGTGAGTCTTAGTCAGACTCTGTCACTATGGAGGCAACAATCATCCATAAATTCGGATGAAACTCCTTAACTGAGAGGGCTTGATAGCTACTTGGCGTGCCCATGGGATGGAATGGAGCTACTGAGGTCTTTCTCGACATTATGTGACTTATCTCTCAAGCTTAACACCCCAC